ATTAAGCACTTTGCAAAGTAAAATTCAGCTACCAATCCAGTTTCCATCTGTCAGTGACCTTTGCCTCAGGCAGCAAAATGCCTTTGGTAGCTGTGTATGGCAGGGGTAAATTGCCTGGGTTTCTGGCTCCTAGATCAGTGGGGTGAGGAATCTGCTATGAATTTTTGAAGGAGCTGTTCAAGGTGCTGAGCCAGGTTAGGGAATAAGTTTCAACATCTCCAATGGGGACCACTAAATACCTGTGGGTGCCACCCTGTCTCTTTTTTTGGGATTTAGGAAAGAAAGGACAGAAATAACCATTTCCCTCAAGCAGTTTACAAACTCATATCCACTCTCTCATATTCTTTCAGAGGCCCATTTCTTCACTGTTTCTCCCTACACCAAAAAGCCAGCAAAATACTATCCCATTATAGCTTTTTAAAGCAAAAGAGTGGTTCATAATTCCCCAGACTGTTGGGGGTGGGGATTTATTTATTTATTTATTTGCAGCATTTATATGCTGCCCTTCTTACCCCAAAGGGGACTCAGAGTGGCTTACAAGATAAATTTTCATACAGTATAGTACATTAGCATAGTACAATATCAGTATTATATATTACTATATTGCACTATACCATTATATTGTAATATGCTGGTTGCTTCTGTGGCGAGAGAATCAGCAGTCTACAAAGACGTTGCCCAGGGGACGCCCGGATGTCTTGCAATCCTGCGAGGAGGCTTCTCTCATGTCATCCCCTGTTTGGGTATCAGCCAGCACGCCAATGACTTAAATCTAGACATAGTTTTCTAAGATCTACAGAGACACTCGCTGGAACACCTCAGCAAGCGAGAGTCCAAAAGTGGCAGGCTCAAGCCCAGAACCTCAGTCAATGGCTGATACCAAATGAGGGACTGCCCCCTGGGCACACAGAGGACTGGGCGACTTGGAAGGCACTGAACAGACTGCGCTCTGGCACCACGAGATGCAGAGCCAACCTCAAGAAACGGGGCTACAAAGTAGAATCCTCGACATGCGAGTGTGGAGAAGAGCAAACCACTGACCACCTGCTGCAATGCAACCTGAGCCCTGCCACATGCACAATGGAGGACCTTCTTGCAGCAACACCGGAAGCACTCCAAGTGGCCAGATACTGGTCAAAGGACATTTAACCAGCTACCAAACTCACAAGTTGTGCATTTTTCTGCCTGTTTGCTTTGATCTGTTAGAAATGTAATATAATGGACTGGCTGCTCTGACACGACAAATAAAATAAAAAATATTGTAATATTATTAGTAATATCACATGTAATGTAAATATATAAGTATAATTATAATATTGTATTATTATTACTAGTATTATATTGTATTACATTATAATATTATAAATATTATATGTATACACAATATACTATACTAGTTGTCCCCTGCCAAATGTTGCTGTGGCCTAGTCTGTTGATCTGGAAAATAAAGTGATGATAAAGTGTTGGTTTCTAATATATGTAATTTCTTGATGCTTATGGATAAACAGTATTTCTTGCTGTTTATTTGTCAGTGTTGATGTGGAGAGTGTCTGGTTTGCCCACCCTGGAACATGCAACATATAATTGTCCTTCTTTAAGGGTCCCTTTCAAATCTATGATACTATATGATATGATCCATACTTTGTGTGGATCATATCTATCTATCTATCTATCTATCTATCTATCTATCTATCTATCTATCTATCTATCATCTCATTAACATATATATGTGTGTGTGGATCATATCTATATCTATGGCTGGATGGCTCTTTGTCAGGAGGACTTTGATTACGTTTTCTTGCCCTGATGAAGGGAGTTGGACTGGATGGCCTTAAGTATTTTCTGTTGGTCATGGGGGTTCTGTGTGGGAAGTTTGCCCCGATTCTGTCATTCGTGGGGTTCAGAATGCTCTTTGATTGTAGGTGAACTATAAATCCCAGTACTACAACTCCCAAATGTCAAGGTCTATTTCCCCCAAACTCCATCTGTGTTCATATTTGGGTATTTGGAATATTCCTCCAGATCCATCATTGTTTGAGTCCACAGTGTTCTCTGGATGTAGGTGAACTACAACTCCCAAACTCAAGGTCAATGCCCACCAAACCCTTACAGTATTTTCTGTTGGTCATGGGAGTTCTGTGTGCCAAGTTTGGTTCAATTTCATTGTTGGTGGGTTCAGAATGCTCTTTGATTGTAGGTGAACTATAAATCCAGCAACTACAACTCCCAAATGACAAAATCAAATTTTTTTTTGTGAAGGACATACATTGGGTTGTTAGGTGTCTTGTGTCCACATTTGGTGTCAATTTCGTCCAGTGGTTTTTGAGTTCTGTTAATCACACAAAATAGATAGATTAATAGATTATAGATAGATAGATAGATAGATAGATAGATAGATAGATAGAATAGATAGATATATAGATAGATTAGATAATAGATATATAGATATAGATTAGATAGATCGATAGATCGATAGATCGATAGATCGATAGATCGATAGATAGATAGATAGATAGATAGATAGATAGATAGATAGATAGATAGATAGATTATATTATTAGTAAAGACAAGATGGAACTGTCTTCAACTCCCCTCTGTCTTCACTCTGGCCAGAGCAGCATTTGGTACCAGAGGAGGGAGGTGCCTCCCAACTGATGGAATAGGCAGAAAACAAGACAGAAATGTCTTTTGCTCCCCTCTGTCTTCACTCTGGCCAGAGATGGACTATAGTTTGAAAACAAAACATGAAAGAATTTCTATGCACACTGCTTATAAGTTATTTCAGACTTAAGGTGACTCTAAGTCAGTGGTTCTCAACCTTCCTAATGCCACGACCACTTAATGCAGTTCCTCATGTTGTGGTGCCCCCAACCATAAAATTATTTTCATTGCTACTTCCTAACTGTAATTTTGCTACTGTTGTGAATCATAACGTAAATATCTGATATGCAAGATGTATTCTCATTCACTGGGCCAAATTTGACACAAATACCTGATACACCCCAATTTAAATACTGGTGGGCTTGGGGGGAGCATTATTTTTGTCGTTTGGGAGTTGTAGTTGTTGAGATTCATAGTTAACCTACAATCAAAGAGCATTTAGTACTCCACCAACGATGGAATTGAACCAATCTTGGCACACTGAACTCCCATGACTAACATAAAATACTAGAAGGGTTTGATGGGCATTGATCTTGAGTTTTGGAATTGTAGTTCACCTATATCCAGAGAACACTATGGACTCAAACAATGATGGATCTGGACCAAACTTGGCACAAATACTCAATATGCCCAAATGTGAACACTGGTGGAGTTTAGGGAAAATATACCTTGACATTTGGGAGTTGTAGTAGCTGGGATTTATAGTTCACCTACAATCAAAGGGCATTCTGAATCCCACAAACAATAGATTTGGGCCAAATTTCTCTCACAGAACCCCCATGACTAACATAAAATAATGTGTTTTCTGATGGTCTTTGGTGACCCCTCTGACACCCCCTTGTGACCCCCCCAGGGGTCCCAACCCCCAGGTTGAGAAACACTGCTATAAGTCTAAAGTTTAGCGTGGGTAAGTGACTTTGAAGGGTCATATCTGGCCCATGGGCCTTAGTTTGGGGACTCCTGATGCAGACTAACAATGCATTTAAGCCTCTTTCATGTTCAGCCGAACAGACCCAAATGATTATGCCTTTCCACATAGGGAAAGCATTGCCTGCTGATAATTTTGCCATTTTCCATGTAATCTAAACCCACAATTTTAGGGATCTTGTAGTTGTTCCATAATCTGAAATAGTACCCTCCCAAGATCTGTGTAGAAACAGACAGAATTCTAATAATAATAATAATAATAATAATAATAATAATAATAAACCTTTATTTGTACCCCGCTACCATCTCCCAGAGGACTCGGTGCGGCTTACAAGTGGCTGAGCCCAAATACAATAGTCAAACAATAAAAACAACAACAACAACAAAATAACTAAAAAAACCAAGCAATAACATTAACAACACATAATGACATAATTAAAAACAATGGCAGGGCCAAATGTAATAATAAAGTTAAAAAGTCTGGGTGTGACAAGATGGAGTTTTTGGAGGGGGATGGGCATGTAGATATCCTAGATCTCTGATAAAGTGCGTTGGGACATAATGCTAGGAGTTTCCTTATTCAGGGAAGGCACACTGGAACAACCACGTTTTCAAGCTCCTCCTAAAGATTGCTAGTGACGGGGCCTGCCTGATGTCCTTAGGGAGAGAGTTCCAGAGTCAAGGGGCCACCACCGAGAAAGCCCTATCCCTCGTCCCCACCAGTCGCGCTTGCGATGCCGGTGGGATCGTTAGCAGGGCCTCTCCAGATGAACGAAGAGATCATGTAGGTTCGTACACAGAGAGGCGGTCACGCAGGTAGGCAGGTCCCAAACTGTTTAGGGCTTTGTAGGTAAGCACCTGCACCTTGAATTGGGACTGGAAAATGAATGGCAGCCAATGGAGCTCCTTAAACAGGAGGGTTGACCACTCCCTGTAAGGAGCACCAGTTAACAACCTGGCCGCCGCCCGTTGGACTAGTTGGAATTTCCGGGCCATTTTCAAGGGCAGCCCCACGTAGAGCGCATTACAGTAGTCCAATCTGGAGGTGACTAAAGCATGGACCACCCTGGCCAGATCCGCCTTCACAAGGTATGGTCGCAGTTGGCGCACGAGTCTCAATTGTGCAAAAGCCCTCCCGGCCACCGCCGACACCTGAGGTTCAAGCGTAAGTGATGAGTCCAAGAGGACACCCAGTGTTAACAGTGTTCTGTTAAATCCACTGAAGATTTTTCAAAATAATTTCAATTGGTCTGCCCTTTGGACCAATTGAAATTTCCTGGCCATTTTCAAGGGCAGCCCCATGTAGAGCACATTACAGTAGTCCAATCTGGAAGTGACTAAGGCGTGGACCACCCTGGCCAGATCAAATTCTTGACCATTTCAAGTACAGATACTACAAATGACTAGCGAACTTCAATGTTGAAATAATTTATTTGAGCATTGAAATAATTTAACTTGTTTACAAAATGTGTAGAAAAATATTTTGAGAGTTTTGGACATTCTTGCTCAATAAATAACATAAATAAAGGCACGTGTTATCTGAAATACATAGGTACACTTCAGCATACAGCACTCTTTAACATTAGGAGAATTCTCAGCTCCGTTTTTAAAACAAATGGTTGAAATAAATACTACCCCCCCACCAAAATATGATATTCTTATAATTATGTCACAAAAGAAGGCCTTGCACAATAAATAATATACAGACTTGGCCGTGTTGAATAAATAATAAGATTAGAAATGCTCACACCAGAAATAGAAATGATTTTCACCCTTCCTGCAGTGCCCGGAACATTATACATAATTCTCTCCCTTTCAGTCTCACAACAACTTTATGAGGTAGGTTAGGCTAAGAGATGGTGATTAGCCCAAGTAATTGAGTGAGCTTCATGGCTGAATAGGGATTTGAACCTAAGACCAACACACTAACTGTTGCTGACTCACAATAGGTGGCCTTGAGGCTCGCTCTGATTCACAGTGCTCTCGATATGGTTGCATTAGTTGCGTGCAAATGACCCAGAGGAACACAGTTCATTGCCAATTTGCTTTGCTGTAATAACAGTCAACCTGGTGCAGGCACAGATATACCAACTTCTTTTCAACTGTGTTCACTGATTTCCGAACCTTCACTTCCCACTTCCCTATTTTCAACCTTATGTTAAATATCCTTCTTAAGTTTTTCTATCAATGCATTTATGAAATAAATATATAAATAGGCAGTCTATATATCTATATATCTTCTCAGTTATAAAAGTCTCGTAGGCTTGATCAAAATGGCTCAGTTTCTTTCAGTAAAGAAATGTGGGAGAAACTCTTGATGGATTTCCTGGTAGTTGTGATTAGACATTGCCTTGAGCCCTGGAAGAAAGAAAAAGCAAAAGACGTTAGTGTTCTGTTAATCCCACTGAATTTTTTTCAAAATAATAAAGATCTACCATATATATAATCTGCAATTCTAAGAAACGCCTCATAAAGCCCTGAACGGTTTGGGACCTGCCTACCTACGTGATCGCATCTCTGCATACGAACCCACACGATCCCTTCGATCTTCCGGAGAGGCCCTTCTCTCGATCCCACCAGCATCGCAGGCGCGATTGGTGGGGACGAGAGAGAGGACCTTTTCGGTGGTGGCCCCTCGACTCTGGAACTCACTCTCTAAAGATATCAGACAGGCTCCAACTCTGGCAGTCTTCAGGAGGAGGTTGAAGACATGGCTGTTCCAGTGTGCCTTCCCGGAATAATGATCCCATAGCACTTTGTCCTCTAAAGCATTTTACATTTCCCTGAGTCTGCTTGTATGCCCTCCACAAACATCAGTATCACCTTTCGTTCATGGCCCAGCATTATTTCCAATTTGGCCTTCCCACTGTTTTAATTATGTGTTGCTTTTATTTATTTTTTGATAATGTTGTGTATTTTACTGTCTATGTTTTTAATTGCTTGTATTGATGTTTTATTGCTTCTATTGTTGTGTTTGGGCTTGGCCTCATGTAAGCCACACCGAGTCCCTTGGGGAGATGGTACAAATAAAGTTAATAATAATTTTTAGAGACGTTTTCACTGTATTAAAATCAAAGAAATACAGTAATTCAATTTTCAAGAGGTAGAACTAAGAAAGGTTACTTTTTGTAAGACAAATTACAGCATCCCTAACCAACATTGAAATGCCCTTGTTGGCTGATGGATTGCAGAAGCCGTAGGCTAAAATTAGTTCACCCAAATTGATGGGGGAAATACAAAAAGACAGAAACCTGTTTAGCAATGTGTTCTGGTAATCTCTATCCAGGTATACTCAATTTTACAGGTAATGAATCTGAAATGAGACTCTTTTCTACCTGGGTCAGTGACATATCTCCTGTGCCTATCTGTTTAGTTTCGACTGCAAAGTACCATATATTCCGGCATATAAGATGACTGGGTGTATAAGACGACCCCCAACTTTTCCAGTTAAAATATAGCGTTTGGGATATACTTGCTGTATAAGACTACCCCTCTTCCAACACACACCAAATAAATTTTTTAAAAGCATCGGATTTGATTTCAATATGGTAATTTTCCTATTACTGCATCTCCTTCTCTGCCACTCAGATCTCGCACATGCTTCACTGCAGGCTTCAGGAGCGAGATCTGAGAGGCAGAGGAGGAGGTACGGTAATAGGATACAAGGAGAGGCCAGACAGGTAAAAGAGGTGTGTTTTTCTGGGCCCAGAGCCACTCTATCTCTTTTTTTCTATACCCCGGCACCCCAGAAGCCTTCATTTACACCTTTCCGGTGACGCACCCCTTCACCTCACCATCAGGACCATATTAAGTCCACGAATTCTGATGAATGGCTTTTCTTCTACCATACTTGTACAGTGTCGCCCTTAATGCTTTCATACAGTCGCTGCATACGGCAGGGACGTGGCCACTGCCATTTTTGAGCTCCCCCCACCATATGCAGCAAGTACAGATTCTCCAATCTGGATTGGAAGTGTCAGCACTCGCTCTATAAGATGACTCCCGGCGTATAAGACTACTCCTGTATATATGACGACTCCCATGCATAAGGCTACTCCAGCGTATGATCCGACCCCGTGTATAAGACTATTCCCGCATATAAGATGACTCTCGCGTATAAGATGACCCCTGATTTTTGAGAAGATTTTCTTGGGTTAAAAAGGAGTCTTATCTGCCAGAATATACGGTATATTCATTTTATAGCCTGCAGAGGGCATTAATTTTGCCTGGTGTAGAGTCAAGGGTGGTAAATCTGGAGCTTAACAGAGGTCACCAGAGCAAACAAATCCAATCCATGGGCCCCAGTGAGTGGATAGATAGGGCTCAATACACCAGGAAGCTCAACTACTCTATCTACATTCATATGAAGATCGGGATTGTGGCGCAGCTGGCTGAGTGTCAGCTGCATTAAGATCACTCTGACCAAAAGGTCATGAGTTCAAAGCCAGCCCGGGTTGGAGTGGGTTTCCAACCAATTGTGTGTAGCCTGTTGTCGACCTTTGCAACCCGAAAGACAGTTGCATCTGTCAAGTAGGAAAATTAGGTACCACCTTGTGTGGGGAGGCTAAATTAACTGATTTATGAGGCCATAAAGAAAACTTCAGCAAAGCATTCCAGCGGGGAAGCATGCGGGGAATGCGGCAGTGCTTCATCAGCGTCGCAGATGGACGATGAAAGCGACAGCTCCCCTGGTGGCCAGAAAAAGTTAAATAGCCTCTGTGTATGTCTGTATATGTTGTTATGTCAAAAATTGGCATTGAATGTTTGCCATATATGTGTACACTGTAATCCACCCTGAGTCCCCTGCGGGGTGAGAAGGGCGGAATATAAAAGCTGTAAATAATAAAATAATAATAATCAAAACTGCAAGGTTGCACCTATTAATCTTGAAGTAAGCACGACTTAATTTGGTGGGATTTATTTCTGAAGAAACATACAGACGATGGTGCTTTTGAATTGGGAAGAGAAGCACTTACTTGTCCAAGATGGCTTTGATGATCACCTTCACCCAGTTGGCTGTGGGTTCCAAGCAGACCTCTCTGCCATCCTTGAGAGTTGCACTGCAATGCAAGAAAACCAGGAGCATCAGACACATGTTTGAAGGGGATTTCTGCTGCTGCACTTTTTATAAATGTAAACTATTCTAGTCCCATTGTCAATACTGTTCCTTAAAAGCTTGTTCTCCCTTTTTACAACTGAGGGAAATCCCCAAGGGCACATCCCACTGGGAATTTCTCCCATTATGAAATGCATGAGAGCTACAGAAAGATGTCCCTACATCTATTAAGAGAGAGAGATTGAGATGAGTAGGATACTTACATGACTTCGACATTTGTGCAGTGGGGCCCACTTTGAGTCAGTTTGACATCCTGGATGTTTTTGGGAGTGATGAACCTGGAATGGGTGGTTATGCACTGACACCGCAATTCACTCCCCATCCGGGCCATTGGGAGACCTGTAAGAGGGATTATAAATGATTAAATAATTTACTTTCCAATTATTAACTTTCCCCCAAAAGTTTCACACTCTCTAATTGGACTTGAATCCTGTTTCAATGTCATTAAAATGACCCCGTTATGTAAAAAAATAAAATTCAGTAGGTTCTTGTAGGTTTTTTCGGGCTATAGGGCCATGTTCTAGAGGCATTTCTCCTGACGTTTCGCCTGCATCTATGGCAAGCATCCTCAGAGGTAGTGAGGTCTGTTGGAAATAGGAAAATGGGTTTATATATCTTCTGGGCCTATAGCCCGAAAAAACCTACAAGAACCTAGTGATTCCAGCCATGAAAGCCTTCGACAATACATTAAAATTCAGTAATCGCTAGCACTAAAACTGCTTTAGACTGCTGCATGAATAAAGATAATTTTGATCATCGTGTGAACTGGGTTGTTGTAGGTTTTTTCAGGCTATATGGCCATGTTCTAGAGGCATTCTCTCCTGACATTTCGCCTGCATCTATGGCAAGCATCCTCAGAGGTAGTGAGGTCTGTTGGAACTAGGAAAATGGGTTTATATATCTGTGGAATGACAGGTTGAAACATTCACACCTAGCTCCAGCAGACAAGAGTCCTTTGTCTCACCCTGGTCATTCCACAGATATATAAACCCATTTTCCTACTTCCAACAGACCTCACTACCTCTGAGGATTCTTGCCATAGATGCAGGCGAAATGTCAGGAGAAAATGCCTCTAGAACATGGCCATATAGCCGAAAAACCTACAACAACCCAGTGATTCCGGCCATGAAAGCCTTCGACAATACATCATGTGAACTACTTGACCAGAATTTTGTGTTAAAAGTCCTTCTGTCAAATGTACCAAATCATATGAAGGATATGATGGAAGGATTCTCTCCCTGTCATTTGTTTCCAGCGTCCATATGCAAAAGTATAGTGCCATGAAGGGGGTTACATTTAGCCATCATTGAAGGAGCAATCGTTAATGAATATGGTTTGTTGTAGTCTTTTTGCACTATATGGCCATGTTCTAGAAGCATTCTCTCCTGACGTTTCGCCTACATCTATAGCAGGCATCCTCAGATGCAGGCGAAACGTCAGGAGAGAATGCTTCTAGAACATGGCCATATAGCCATATAGCCCGAAAAAACTACAACAACCCATTGATTCCAGCCATGGAAGCCTTCGACAATACATTTAATAGATCCCCTAAAAAAACAAATTTAAAAGCCCAATACAAACTAAGAGGACACTAGAACAGAACTTTTTATATGTAATGATGTAATGATGAGGTTTTTATTGTACTGAGTTGTACTATTTTAATATGTAATGAGTTGTATTTGCTGTTTTATATGATTGTATTTGATATGCACTGTAAACCGACCTGAGTCCCTCGTCGAGGTTGATAAGGCCGGTATAGAAATCCTCTAAATAATAATAATGTTTTCCACAAGAGGTCAGCAGTTTAAAAAAATTCTACTTATAATTTTGATATTTTTTTGGCTATAATGCTAAAATAGATGTGCTATATTCAGCTATTTCCCTCTCTTTACAACAGAAGCTCTTCTATTAAACAACCTCAAGGAAAGACCTGCAGAAATACTATCTTTCAGAAACAAATACAAGTAGGAGCATGAAGCAAGTAGTTTCTTACCTTCGGTCAGAGTGGCGCAGGCCAAGAAAAAAGCCAGAAGTGCAACAACAACCTTGGCGTTCATGGCGAGGCAAATTAAGTCTTTCTTGGCTGTGGTCCTGAGAGGCAGCAGGATGCTTGTTTGCCTGAGAAGGTTTGTGCTTGACTGAATGAGTTCTGCAAACGCTCTGACTTATATACGATCTTGCTCTCCAGAGGGGCCTGTCAGAGGAAATTCCCAGGGCAAGCAAGACGCTATCATAAAAATGAGTCATTAGGAAATCTTGTGGGCATGTGTTGCGATGTCGTTCTTACGGGTGTGAAATCCAGTCCAGCACTTCCTAATTAATTAATTATTTCTACATCTTTGAGCTTTGTAATCGGTTGTGCATCATTTTCTCCCCCCAAAAAGAGTTTGTGTCAGCCTATGTGTTGTCTGAACCTCACATCCACCCATCAAAGCATTTGCTCCCAGGGCCAAGTGAGTCTTCTTTGACCACATTTTAGTGCAAAACACTAGAAGGGTTGTATTGTCGAAGGCTTTCATGGCCAGAATCACTGGGTTGTTGTAGGTTTTTCCGGGCTATATGGCCATGTTCTGGAGGCAATTTTTCTCCTGATGTTTCGCCTGCATCTATGGCAAGCATCCTCAGAGGTAGTGAGGTCTGTTGGAAGTAGGAAAAATGGGTTTATATATCTGTGGAATAATCAGGGTGAGACAAAGGACTTTTGTCCGCTGGGGCTAGATGTGAATGTTTCAGCTGATCACCTTCATTATGTGGACAATTTCAACAGAAAGGAAGAAACCATGAAAATGAACAAAATCTGGCTACCAGTATTAAAGGACTCAAAAATCACAACAGCAAAACAACATAGGGGAAACAAACAGGCACATAAAATCACTCTCAACAAGGGATTCCCCCCGGGCACTTCCAAGCCATTGAATGCTAATCAAGGTGATCAGCTGAAACATTCACATCTAGCCCCAGCAGACAAAAGTCCTTTGTCTCACCCTGGTCATTCCACAGATATATAAACCCATTTTTCCTACTTCCAACAGACCTCACTACCACTGAGGATGCTTACCATAGATGCAGGCGAAACGTCAGGAGAAAAATTGCCTCCAGAACTTGGCCATATAGCCCAGAAAAACCTACAACAACCCACTAGAAGGGTTTTTTTTGGGGGGGGGGGGTTGTATTGGCCTTGGTTCATTTTTCCCCTGAAGTTTTGCCCCTAGAAATATATCTTTTCACTCCATCATTACTAAATAAGTTGGTAATTTATTTGTCATGTCAGGGCAACCAGTCAATTATATTACATTTCTAACAGAACAAAGCAAACAAACAGACAAAATACAAAATTTGCGAGTTTGGTAGTTGATTAAATGTCCTTTGACCAGTATCTGGCCACTTGGAGTGCTTCTGGTGTTGCTGCAAGAAGGTGCATTGTGCATGTCGCAGGGCTCAGGTTGCATTGCAGCAGGTGGTCAGTGGTTTGCTCTTCTCCACACTCGCATGTCATGGATTTCACTTTGTAGCCCCGTTTCTTGAGGTTGGCTCTGCATCTTGTGGTGCCAGAGCGCAGTCTGCTCAGCGCCTTCCAAGTCGCCCAGTCTTCTGTGTGCCCAGGGGGGAGTCTCTCATTTGGTATCAGCCATTGGTTGAGGTTCTGGGTTTGAGCCTGCCACTTCTGGACTCTCGCTTGCTGAGGTGTTCCAGCGAGTGTCTCTGTAGATCTTAGAAAACTATTTCTTGATTTAAGTCATTGACGTGCTGGCTGATACCCAAACAGGGGATGAGCTGGAGATGTCTCTGCCTTGGTCCTTTCACTATTGGCTGCTACTTCCCGGCGGATGTCAAGTGGTGCAATACCGGCTAAGCAGTGTAATTTCTCCAGTGGTGTAGGGCGCAGACACCCCTTGATAATGCGGCATGTCTCATTAAGAGCCACATCCACTGTTTTAGTGTGGTGAGATGTGTTCCACACTGGGCATGCGTACGTGGGGCTACCCTTGAAGACGGCCCGGAAACTACAACTTGTCCGACGTTCGGCAGCTAGATTAATAACTGTGGCTAGTTATAGGGAGCGGTCTACCCCCGTTTAATTAGGAGCTCCACTGGCTGCTGTTTATTTTCCGGTCCCAATTCAAGGTGCAGGTTATCACCTATAAAGCCCTAAGCAGTTTGGGATCCACCTACCTTCGTGACCTTATCTCCCTCCATGAACTTACTCGGGCCCTCCTATCTTCTGAGGTCACCCTTCTTTCACCCCTGCCAGTTTCACAAGCTCGCCTTTTAAGTACAAGGGAGAGAGCTTTTTCTCTGTGGCCTAGAAACCTAGAAATCTTTAAAAATAACCTTAAAACCTGGCTCTTCCGCTACACCTTTGGTGAGTAGGTATATAACCTCACACTATTGCTCAGCCTCAACGTTCTGTCATTGGAGTATACGTCTCCCCCCCCCCTTGTGGGAAAGCTTGATTCCACAGCCCCCGCTATAATGAGCCCTCCTCCGCAAATAACCTGTTTCTCCTTATTCTCCCCCGAGTTTTTAATTTATTTTTAATTAGTTTTTCTTTTAATCATTATATGTAACCCACCCATTGTCACTGTGATTGTGCTTATTGTAATTTTATATTGTTATGCATTCACATGTTTTATGTAATTATGATGTTGTTGTTTATTGTTTGCATTTTTGGTTTGCGTTTTTGGTTTTACTCTGCTGTAATTTGTTGTTTGGGCTTGGCCTCATGTAAGTTGCCCCGAGTCCCCATCGGGGAGATGGTGGCGGGGTATATATAAAGGTTGTTATTATTATTATTATTATTTGGAAGACCTCACAAAGGCTGCATCTATTCTGTAGAATTATTGCGGTTTGATACCACTTTAACTGTCATGGCTCAATGCTATGGAATAATGGGGATTGTATTTTTATGAGGTCTTTATACAACTCCAAGGACTCTAACATCCCACATTCTAAAAAGTGATAATTTACTCTGTAGTTTGACCTATAGTACCATAATTACAAGCTACAGTACCATAATTACAAGGTACATAATTGTATTTGTAAGCGTTATTTAGTTGAAGGAACATTGGGTCAAAATAGTGTGCCCCAGGGATTGAATTACCACTCGGCCATGGCAACCCACTGGATGACCTTAAGCAAGTCAGCGGAAGGCAAAGGCAAAGTCTTCTGAACACATCCTGACAAGAAAACCCCATGATTAGTAAGAAACAACACAGCAAAAACAACACAATGGAAAACAATGTAATGTGCAAAGAAGTCAGTGGGTTCTCACAATTGGTGTGAACCACACTTTACATCACTGCAATCTATATGGAAAAGAAAGGAAACAATACTTATGGCCTTATATTTGCAATAAATCAAGTTGGGATACAGCGGCCAAAACCTCATTTTTGTTGGCCGGTTACAACCCCATTCTGACAACAAAAGTTGCCTTTTATTTGTTTAAAGCTGCTAAAAGGAGATCGGAGTACATAGATCAGATTGGGGTGCAGTGTAGAGGAGACGAGGATAGTAGATGTATATATCAGTGGCTAAGCTATATTGATCTCAAGCTGACAAATACCTGTATGTTTGTATTTTATTTTAAGAAGACTAGATGTATGTTGTATTTTGTGTGTGCACCTTCTGTGCAGGTACAACTGCACCAGGAGCTCCAATTTTGTTTGCTTTGCATTTAATGTTTGTTATAGTCCTAAGTTTCAGGGACTCTGCAGATAGGTGGCTTCTTTTGGCTGCAATCATAGGGCAAGACACCTGTCAATTATAGTTAGGTTCCCTGATCCCGCCCCCTTTTTGGGTTTTTTAGGGAATAGGAGCCAGTTTGGGTTCAGTCCACACAGAGAAGCCTTTCCTGCAGGATATAATACCAAGAGCTCCTGTAGAAAGCTTCATCTTCTACGGCTTGGCTGGGGAGATACAGCCCCACCGCTTGGCCACAAGATATACAGCCTTACAGCTCCTTCGCTGAGGGACTTCAGTCAGCCATCACTGAAACCTGAACTCCTTTTTCCCTGGAAGTCTACAAAGCTCTGCTTGGTAAGGGTCACTCGCGGAAGCCAGAAGCAGTTGGTACCGGGTGCAGGGGCTCCACGTCAACAGAGGCAAAGACAGACTGCCCAGATTAGAAGTTAAGGATTTCCCCATTAGTTAATGTACAGTTTATGAAGATAGTGCCTGTTCCCTGTGGACAAGATTGAGAGAAACCCCATAGACTGTTAAGAAAGCCTTAAAGTACCTGTTTGTTTTCATTAATAAAGAACTTTGTTGAACCTTTAAGCAATCTAAAGACTCTGTTTTAAGGAAATCCAACGGCCTTTAATCTGAGGCAGCCCCAGCATCCCGTTGGGCACACAGAATTTATGTCCTGTCTACAGTCTTAGCACAGGCCCAGCGTGTGACAGCACACCTTCTGTTTTTGATAAGACCAACTGGCTAATCAATAAAATTGTTCTGTTCACAACAATTAGTCCTAATAATTTTAACTGTAACAATAGTACTAACTTCATACTTTTCAAAAGTGTTGTTGAATATTGCAGGTGCCTGTTGGGTGAAAGAAATAATCTTAGTTTATCAATTACAACTATAAAGTATAACTTAAAATGACCATTAGCCCATATTTAATTCAATTCAAATTACTTCTTCAGCCAATGTGCTCTAGCTGTTGTCCCTGTTCCTTCCTTGCTACCCTGTGACAGAACAGATATGTCAATCACCCAAGCTATTTCCCCATACTGAAATCAGCTAGGGTTTAAATGAATGGCAAGTTCCTTGGACAATCTTAAGGAGCATTCAGGCCCTATTTACACTAATAGTTTAAGGACCTTATGGTAGAAGATAAAGAGTTTATTATTAGAGCAATAAGTAACAAATGGAATGGAGTTCAATCATTACAGACACAAGAAATAGAGGAAATAATTAGGAACATGAATAAAATAAAAACAGAAAAACACGAGGGGTATTTTTTAAGTAAGGTCAGTTGGAACATAAGTACACAACGAAAGTTTATTTCAAAAAAGTAAATTTATTTTCAGAAAGTACACACTTCACTCTATTTTTGACATAGTTGCTAAGTTTGTTCAAACACTTATCATACCCCTGAACCAATTTTAAAATACCCTCTTCATAAAAATTTGCCGCCTGCTCCGATAACCAAGAGTTCACTGCCGTTTTCATGTCGTCGTCATCATTGTAATGGTAATCAAAGAAGGGCAACCGGAGAGGTCCT